CAGATAACATGACAGAGAACCTGACAGGACCTACAGCTTTAATAAAGATCGGATTTTGTGGGGATTTTAGTGTCCCTTGTCATCCTGAACTTTTTTTCTTTTTAAATCCTTCGGTTTTGTTTAAAATCCACACTTTAGTGCCACAAACTCTGCTCGTCTGGCTCTCGCTCTAACTCCGCTCTGATGAACTGCTGCTGATGGTCAGAGCGCGGCCGAGCCCCTCTGTGCACGTGCGTGAGACCCGGTGTGAGACCCACACACGCGTGTTTGGCGCAACGCATTATGGGAGATCATCCACTGCGCAGAACCGGGAGGACCAGACGATGCCCAAATACAGGCGAAGTTTCCCATAGATCTTTGCGAGTTTCAGGCAACTTCCGCTATTTTCAGGCAACTTCCGCACCATCTTTCAGCCCCATCTTGCTGTCACAAAACGAACACAAAAGAGTGAATGGGACACTTTGTTCACTGCCAGGCAACCATTCAGATTGACCTACGACCCGGACCTTCTATATTGTGAAAAGGGGAATAAAAGAAAAAAGAAGATTGGAGGCTTATGGCGTACCGCTTCCGAGATGGACTGGGAATCGTCAAACCCTACCCGATGCATGGCGCCCCGTTTAAACCACATGTTTGAATTAATGGTTTTCGGACCACTCAAAAGTAGGGTCAGAGGAACAAAATGCAGTTTTCTACTGTTGTGGATCGGGGGTGGGGACAAAGGCGGGACATATGTAACACGTGGTCTCTCAGTGAAGATTAATGCTAAACTCCTTGGCAAATAAATTTTGATGGTTCTGATATCTAACCCAAAAGCATAACCCCATATTTGCCGATATAACGTTCATGAAAAACACAAGATAGGTGGGTGAGTCCTTTGAAACATTTTGTACAGATCTGAAACTCCTCGTAAAGACTGTGGCTATGACAAAAGCGACGAAATGGTCAGGGGACCGCATAGTGTTTGGAACCAAACTCCCCACCATGGTCAGAGAAAAGCTACTCATCAAGGACCGGAGCTAACACTTGACAAGCCTATTAGATATAGCCCGCGCATGAGCTAGCCAAATCAAAGCTGAAAGCCTATGGCTAAACGACAAACCATGAAGTTCATGCTATACGTCGTAGCGGAGGGAAACCGTGACCCAGCTTACGAACTACTAAAAAACAAATGAAACGCAAGGTACCAAAGCAAAGTTTGACCAGGTGTGGTGGACTCCACGGAGAACGTGCGATGTTCAGCTTAAGGAAAGCAGTGTCTCTGAAATGTTAAAAAATTCAATCACTATGCCATAATTTGAGTCAAACCAAAACTTTGAAAGCCAATCAGGGCACAAGAGTGCACATAGTCAAGAAGTGGTGATACTGATTCAAGAGGCTGTTTCATACGACACTATAGCAGCTGGAGACGACAATGAAGACAGTGCATTCGCGGACTACTAGGGGTTCATACAAGGTAAACTAACATTCAAGCTAGGACACAGGGCGGGCACAAGCAAACATCATACCTCTCAGTGCTTTTGCATATCTAAAGCACCCTTAAAGGAGGACAAAGATAAATGTTTGGCTAAGGGGGCCACCCTCTCAAAGTCATATGGGAACAATGTGAATGACAAGCAGAAATATAAAGGACAAAGATAAAATCCGAACAGACATTCCACGTTGTAGATCTGCAATGGGAGCTTCCACCAAATATTAGGCTTCAAAGCATGCAAAGCTGCTTGGGTTTATAAAGTTGTCTATGCAATAACAGAAAAACACAGAAGATGAGCAACCCACCATGTCACCTGACATCACAAGTGAGTTCTCGGACGTTTCAAAGGAATTGGAGATTTCCAGGGGGAAGTGCAGTTTCAGAAGTTGATTCAAATATCTCACAGTCGTTTGCCCACCAAGAAGTAGTACCCTTTGCCCTCAGAGATCGCCTTTAAAGTGGAGCTCAAAACATGGAAAGGGACAAATAATACAAAAAGTCACAGTGCCCACCAAATGGGTCAATTCACTGGTCTTGTGAAAAAAAGCCAAAAACACAAAAGCTACGGGTGTGTTGGGATCCAAGGACTCTAAACAAAGCTATATGGGCCGTACGATCCACTGCCCACCCTCGACGATTTTGTGACCACACAAACTGCTGGGCTAGTATTTTAGCATCTCGATGCACGTTCAGGCTACTGGGCATCAACGCTTTGAGCGAGGAAAGGAGTCATCTTTTTGTAACCTCTTTTAAACACTTATTTCGGCAGGTATCGTTTCCCTCAGACTCCCTTTGGAATTGTATCGGCTCAGATGGTTTCAGAGGAGGATCGATGAGACATACGAAGGCCTTGTGATGTGTTGCAGGCATTGTTGATGGACATCATGTGTTCGGGAAAACAAAAGAAGGAGACGATAAAATCCTCAAAAGCCACCTGCTCAACCGCCACGAGAAAGGGGTTTTAATAATCACGGTATTGGTTGTGAAACTGAACCCAGACAATTGCTGCCTTTGTGTCTCTGAGGTGAGTTTTTCGGACATTAAACTCACAGCAACGGACTAAAACCAGATCCACGGAAAGTAAAAAGCAATCAGAGCAGATGAAACTCTGAAAGTGCTGCAGAGTTAGAGACTATCCTTGGTATGGTGAACTATCTTGCTAAGATTTGCCCCAACTGGCAGAGATGACGTGCACCATGAGGAAGCTGTGCACAAGGACACGGAGTTCACATGCAGGAGGAGAACACGAACATGCGTTCCAGCAAATCAAAGAAACTCTCACTGCTGACCAGGGCCCGTGCTGGCCTATTTCGACCAGGAACAAGATGGTAACACTACAAGTGGATGCATCAAAAAATATGGTGCTAGGTTGCAACCGTTATGCAAAACGTAGGCCAGTTGCGTACGCCTGCAAATGCTAAACAAAAAACAGAGCAGAACTACGCCAAATAGAGAAGGAAATGTACGCTGTTCTCTACGGCTGCCAAAAGATTTCAACGACTTATTTACGGGGCGAAACATTACAGTTCGCGTCAGATCCACAAGCCACTAGAAAGTCATACTACGTCAAACCATTAGCCCTCGACACCAACCACGACTACAGCGCATGCTGCTCGCTCTTCAAAAATACAGCTAAACGCTCATCATAGCCGGAAATGAGATTCCTGTAACGGCACATTGTCAAGAAAATCACTGGATGACACTGACAGTTCCTTCGGTGAGGCAATGGAAACGCAATTACATATGGTACACTCGAACGCACAGTAAGCTCAAAAAAATGGGAGATATCAAAACTGCCACAGCCCAGGACGGAACAAACTCTCTGCTCTCAAAGCGCATTTATCCAGTAGGCTGGCCGGAGAACGAAAAAAATGGTTCCCACATCTCGTCAGTGAGTTTGGAACATCGTGATGAAATCACAGAGACGATGGACTCTTTCTGAAAGGTGAAAGAATAATATTCCTCTCTCACTAAGAAAGACATGGTAAAACGCATACACACAGAGACATTTTGGAGTTGAAAAAAGCAAACACAGAGCAAGAGGACATAATGTCTGCCCTGGCATGGGGAAAACAGATTGAGGAGAGGAGACAATGTTAATGGACATTTGGCCAAACACATCGCCGTCTCAATCAAAAGCGCCCATGCTCTGCCTCAAGAAATCCAGAAGTGCCATGGCAACTGTCGGTAACTGGACTTGTTTTTCATGGAACTCAGAAAACTACATTGTAAATATGTGATTACCTGAGCAGATATTGTGAACTCGAACGTCTGCCAAATTCACCACTGCAGCTGTCATCACAAAATGAAAGCAGCGTTTCTCTCGACATGGTACAGAGAAAGTGAATCAGCGATAACGGACCATGTATAGCTCCAAGAGTTCAAGCGATTTGCAGAACTTTGGGATTTCCAACACGTCACATCAAGCCCCACGTTACCCAAAGCAATTGCTTAGCCGAGAAGACCGAAGACTGTTCAACGCCAAAACGCCTTTTGACAAGGCAGAAAAGAGGACAAGAAGGATCCATACTTGAGTTTACTCGAGTACAGAAATAACTTTTGACGGTCCCTAAAGCACATATGTCTGTGGGGCCCCCCCCCCAAAGGCCCTGGGATGATCTTGAGTTTATTATTAGAACCGGCCCGCAGACGCAGCAAGACGGCAGCTCCGCAGAATCTTTTACACGCACCAATACCTACATTCCCACAAATGAACGGTGACGATTCCCGAGCAGTAGGCTGCTTCGATTTCATATTTTTTGGACAGCAGTCGTCCGCATCACAGTAAATTAACTTTCAGGATACCATCAAAAATGGCAAAAACGGAAGCGTGGGAATGAGAACCGGGGTTTCAAACAAGGTGGGAGTCGGAGTATATGTTCACGGAGGTAGCTGGAAAAATGTGTGGTCTTCTGTGTGGAGAAAAGTGTGGCGGTTACTGGAAGAGTATAATCTGAGCCGACATTATGAATGAAACCACGCGGACCAAAACCAAGAATATGGACATGGAACAAAGGTACAAAAGGCAGAGGAAGGGAATTAAAACGACGGCCTCAAATCTCGACAGGCTCTGTTCAAAAAAGGCCAAAATCACAATGCCAGGCGGCTGTCTAAGGCCAGTTTTATTTTGGCAGAAGAGATAGAGAAGAGATCGTCTAAATCAGCCCGGCATTTTTACGGAGGGGGTTTTCATCAAAAACTGCATTATTAAAGTTAGATGACGAAGTTTGCCAGAAAAGGCAAACTCTTTTTAAATTGTGGAGTCTGAGCAGAAACACCATTGCGAGAGAGTAGACCAGTTGGCCATCAATCCAAAGAGCAAGCTTGTGAAAAAGGAAAAGATTCATTGCATATTCTTGGCTGTGGATGAGAGCACCGTCATTTCTGACATTGCCCAGTTGTCAATTTTCTTTCCGCGGAGTGGACTCCAGCTCTAAGCGTGACAGAGGAGTTTTTGGCTTTACGTCCTATGCATGGCACAAGCTACGGGGGCATGTTTGTATGATGAGGTGTCAAGATGCTGTAAATGAGATGGAGCTGCCTTGGGAAACTCGTGTGTTTGGACAACCGACGGGAGCACCTGCGAGATGTGTGGGACACAGGAGCGGGACTGGGGTGGCGAAGATACGGGAAAAGATGCAGAGGAAAACGCGGACAGGTGAGCTGAGCCTTATCATGTGTAACTACACCAGGGAGCGTTGGTGCGGTAAAGCCTTGAAAATGGAGCAATGTAATGAGCATCATCACGCGCACGAGATAACTTTATCAGAGCCAAAGGTTTGAATCACCGCCAGTTCAAAGGCATTTCTGCCCGGAGTTAGAAAGGTGCATGGTGATTTGCCTTATCACACTGAGGGTGCGGATGGCTAAGCCAGGGAAATGTGCTTCAAAGATGTTCGAGCTTCGTGAGGGAGTTGTCGGTTCTTGACAGCAAGGGAAAAACCACAACACAACTCTGAGACGGATGTTTCTGTTGAATGGCTTTTCTGGTGTGACATTTAGAGTCTCTGAATTGCCAATGAACTGTGCAGCTTGAGCTGCAGGGTGGGATCATGACATTCTCTGATAGGTCAGTACAGTGAAGGATTTAAAACCAAACTGACTTTTGGGAGACGCAGATGCGGAAGGAAAGAAATTTGAGGCCCTTTCCCAGCTGCCAGACCATGATAGAGACGCTCTCTACCAGTGCGTTCCGAGCGCACAGTGGCTGATAAAATAGGTATGCTTGCGCTGACTTTCGACGCGAATTAGGCTGACTTTGAAGCACAAAAAGCAGGTTTTTGTGAGATATACTATAAGCACTGTCAAGAGGTACGGTAGTGGTGTTGTGAAGAAACGAACACCAAGAGTGAAGGGACATACTTTGTTCCGTTAGCAGGCACAACAGATGATAGTGGAATAGTTTGGGTTTTCATTAAGTGAATTTAGAATATATTCAAGTTTTAGACGGCTTTGGGTTTAACCTACTTGGGTATATATGCCTCAGTCAGCATTCTCCCATCCCCCAGTCATGAGCGTATAGCAGAAGTCGAAGACATCTGCTTTTGGATTAGACCGCATGTTTAATTTGCAGGACGCCACTTCTTCTATGGAGGGGAGGAATGGTGGTGTTTTCAACTACATGTGTATGATGAGCATCCTGTGAGTTGACAATCCAGATGTCGACAGCTTACTATTAGAAAGGAGCTGCGACTCCTTCATTTCTTTGTCAATCTTGCTTCTACTCAATCTGACCAGACTGGTGCGTTTTGTCTGTAACTTTTCCGTGTGAGCTTTTGTCCAGATAAAACTGGGTTTTTGAACCAGCAATTAGCAATTGACCAAAATGTATTGAAGAGGATTAGGTTGTTGAAATGTGACCATCATTGTAAACAGTAGAATTGTTCAGTGTCTACATTTCAGAGCCATTCACAAAGCACAGAATTCATAAAAAAGCGTTGTAATAAAATTCCAGAGAAACAATTCTTGTTCATCATGTTTATCTCCTCTTCTTCATATTTGGCCTAAACACACTATAATGGAATGTCGTGGGTCTGTGCCAAGAGGGAGCCTGGCCACATGTTATGCTGTTCTCTTTCATGATCAGTGATGTGAGACCTTGTGGGAGGTAGGAGTGTGTGTGGTGTAATAATAGCTTTATTTGTAATGGCCTTTCAAACCTGTGTGACAAGTTTCTCAAAACCACACACTGTGTCTTTATTCATTTATTCCACACAGTGTTCACAGCTGGGTTGGAGTAAAATGGATTGCTGGCTGCAATCTGTGCTAATGGCCACCACCAACCAGTCTCTCACTATGTCACACATGAGGGTGAAGTGTTTGCTCAAGAACATACCGGACTGCACTTGTGGCAGCCAGGATTCGAACCACCAACTTTAGGCCCCTTGTTAAATCTGAAATCCGTCCCGAAGTTGTGGAGAAGTGTGTTAAGGCAACCTGTGTCCTTCACAACTTCATGCGGCCGTCAGCGGAAATGGCAGCTCCTCCGCAGGCAGGACCTGCAGCACCCGACCCACTTCCTGATCTAGGTCGTATCGGAGCCAACTACGCTGCCAGAGCGGCGTTGAGAGTGAGGGAGGTTTTCAAAGCCCATTTCACAGAGGAAGGAGCAGTGCACTGGCAACGCACATAGCCAGGTTTCCCTGAAAGAAACTGACTGCATTTCTGTTCTTTGTCACCATTTTGTTAGCGCTAATACATTTTTGCCTTACTTGAAGTGTTGTTTCTGTTTAATGTATGTTTTAATTTAAAATGCTTTAGGTAAACACTTACAGCTAACGAGACGTGAAGTCAAGTTAAAAGTTGTTCATAGTACCTAGTTTTGTTTTGAAACGTTACTCTATGATCCTTCTTATTCAGCCCCAATTATAGGCAATGTCAAATCAGACATTTAGCTTTGGAATGGAATGGTTCACTAGTGGAAAATAAAGTACCACATACTTTGATTAGTCCATTCGTACCTTTTCTCGTGCACAGAGTCATAGAGAATATTGTGCATGAGAAATACTCTGTTTAACACACACCACATTAAAGATAGAGTATGAATTTTAAATATTAGAAACTGCGATCATGTAAATAGACTTTATGTAGGTGAGTTCAGAATATTATTTTGGTTCCCTAGTACTCCAATTGATATTACTAAAACCCTTACTGTTTGTGCGAGTATGGCAGATATTAACATTGGGCCCTCAACATTTGTTATCGTCATATAAAGACATTCCTCTGTACTTTAATTTGGTAACATGTTAGTACGCGCCTTATATTACCTGAGCTTTGGAGAATTCTACAATGTGAAGTTGCTGTTCCCTTATCCTTACTTGCTTAATCATAATACAGTGTAATTAAACTGTTTAAAACGACCCTTGATTTAGGGCCGTTTTCACGCCATCTAGTGACCAATGTAGCATACAACAGTAAACAACCGTAGCATATCACAGAGACAAGAGAAAGTAATGCAAACATTGAACAAACCTTGTTCCCTCATCAACCAGGTGCTAAGGGCTGAAACAAACTATAGATTTTTTTTGTACTCGCCTTATACATTCTCAGAGCTGTGGAGAATTCTACAATGTCAATATGCCAATATATATGCTGTAAAGGAGGGGCCAAAGTAAATTTTCTATCTGCTCATTTATTCTGTAATGTATGGTTCTTCTACAACTACGCCTCTTAATGACAAGATTAAAAAGAACCTACGAAATGTATCTACATAGACACAAGAGATTCACACAACACTTTTATTTACATATATACAATTGCATGGAGTGAGGTCACATGGCTATCCCTGCACATTGGATGGTGGCGCATTTTCCTTTTCTGCAAGTTCTTTGTAGATTATGTTCGAAAACCTCCGTTTGATTCTGTAACGGGCATGGGGCTCCAATTTCCCCAATAGATTGACCAGACTGTCCGCAAACAGCTGATCCTCTGATTTCTGTGGTGAGGCGTGAGAGTTCTGCTGGAGTGCAGAGAGCAGCTCTCTCTCATAAGGCGATATTTGAGGATCAGCCTTCTTGCTCCTCTTCCGTTTTGGCTCTGTTGAACAGGAGGAAATACATCTTTAGAAATTGCACACTACGGACAACAGATATAACTGGTCGCAGACGTGAAGTAGGTCACCAAGTATATGATATGTGATGCTAACCTGGAGGTGTTTCCTGGGGGAACAGAAGCCTTGGGTGGTAGGGAGAGGCAGGGATAGTGGCGTTGGATGTCCCCGACGCAGGAGATGACACCCTCATGTCTTCTGTAAATGCATTGTCATTTTAGTAAACATAGCAGTTGTCTGAAAGTATACAATGTATGTAATGTAATATATAGAGAAGAAAAACTTCTATAAAAACTTGAATTACAGAAAGCAATACCATTGCAGATATGGCCATAGTATAGCATGACGTGATATAAATTTCATATAGTAAAATGTCCCCATTTCAACCCAGTACAAACCTTCAGGTCGCGCAGAGGCCTCTTCGACAGCGGGTCCTTCCTCCACCCTACCCATATTGCTGGTGGTGGGGCGCGGGGTAATGGAAGGGTCGAGGAACGAAAGGGCACTTGCGTACCTCCACTTCGCGGTCCCCGCTGCAGAGCCACTCCTCTGTATGTCTTTTTTCCTTTTCATATAAGTGTCACGTAGTGACCGCCATCGCTTCTTGCAAAATTCGACTGCAAAGAATCAGATACTAGTCAGAATTTCCCCTCGAAAAACGAGCATAAACAAGAACCAATTTACGAATGAATGATACTCAAAAAACTTACCAGGGAGGTTGAGCTGCTGCGCAATGGCGTGTTTAAATGACCGGTTCCTGGCTCACAATGGGGAAAATATACACTGTGTAGTGGCGTGATTACGTCAGTGGTGTGCGTGCTCTCTGATTGGTCGCTGCACGAACATCTCGAGGAAAAGTTGAGCGGAATCCATCTCCTGTGGGCGTTCATTTTCCGCTCCTTCTCCTCCCCTTTGACTTTCCCGCCAAGTCCGTGCGTTTCTACTGGGCGGTCCGTGCGTGTGTGCCGAGAGGTCCGTGCAATGCGACGCTGAAACGCGACTCCCCATTGACTTTGCATTGAACGCAGACGCAACGACTGTCCCGGTCTGAAAACACCATCAGTCTCTCTCCCCCTGTTCCAAAGCAGCAGCGGGCGCGCTCCTGACGCACCCTCCACAGTGAGACGCACCGCAGCAGAATGCACAACATGGTGCGGTAAATCTAACACTTGTTGCTCATCATGGGTCCCGCTCACCGGTCTGCCATGGATCACCTTCCCCTGTCCCTTCTATAAACCACACGGTAACATCATCCATAGCTCCCTGGCAGCTAATGCTGCATGCCAGATTCACACGCCTCCAAACTCAACAGGGAAACTTTTGGAAAAATGTCCCGCGTAGTCAAGCATTTTACCCCGCAATAATTATTCATCAATCAACAATTGCACGCAAAATCCTGGAGGGGCTGATAGTACATTAGACAAAGAGGAGAAATAAACTCGTAAATGCAACATGTTGAAGTGAAAAGCAACTTACCACATTACAAAGGGGGGAGGAGCCGCTGCTGCTGCTGCTGCTGCTGCTGGACGAGGAGGGAAGGAGGGGGAAGGCTCCGAGGATCCTGGAGTCTCATGTTAACTAAAACCTGAAGAACTAGCATCGTGGCATCTAGCTGCTTCATATTTATCAGTTTGATGACTGAACAGGCTCTCAGACAGCGTTAGCTGCGTGGGGTTCTCAGGTCCGCGGTCCTTTTATGTAAGCATGGCCGCTCCTCTGGCTGTTTGCAGCTCACAGCACCACATGCCCCCTTCTCCCTCACTAGATCTGGCCACAGTGTCACCTCTGCCCCCTACAGGATCGGTTCCAAAGTGTTTACAGGTCTGAAATGTTGACAAAGGATGCACAAGAGCCTTGACGTACCATAAAAAGAAAACGTCAATGGCAGTGAATGAGTTAACTTGTACATGCTCCCTCTTGGTGGTGTCATCAGGAGTGTGTATCCAAGCCACACTCCATCAGGTGACAGCTTTAAGGCTGGCTCACTGGATTGCACTCCACTGTAGACCAGTCAAAGTGCGAGAAGAAGACTTCTTATTTTAGACTCATAAATTACAAAATTACAAAACCAAAGCTACTGGGGCGACAGTAGCTCAGTTGGTAGAGCATTGGCCTTTAGGCCTTAAGGTTGTTGGTTCGATCCCACAGACTCCCACTGATGACTGCTGCCGTTGTGTCCTTGGGCAAGACACTTAACCCCACTTTGCTCGAAGCCCCCACTAAAAGATCAAGGCTATGCTCACAGAGCAGCCGTCCTCCTGTGGACTCACCACAGGATCAGTGAGGGGCTGAAGCTATCTTATATAACATTAGTCACATAAACGACAGGAGTAGGATGAAGACCAAGTCATATTTAAACCCCTACCCCAATCTTACAGATACAAATACACTATTTCTCACTTCATTTAACAAAGGATTTGATCATCTTTTTTTTACATTTAAACCTAAATTGTAAGATTTTAGGAATGTGGTTCACACTAAAACCTCACTGACGTTTTTGTAAATTGTTTGGTTTTACACCCTTTCTATGAAAGATGGGAAAAAGTACATTTGTGTGTGTTCTTTGTCATCAATATCAAAATATATTATCCTATCTGACATTATGTTATCTGACATCTCTTTGTTGTGTTTCAGATCTACAAAGTCCATCAGAATGGTGTTCACCTGTGACCAGTGTGGAAGGACCTGCAGATCTGCTTCTGCACTAAAGATCCACAGCAGAATTCACACTGGAGAAAAACCATACGAGTGTGATCTGTGTGGAACAGGTTTTGCTACAAAAGGAGATCTCAAGATGCACAGTAGAATCCACACTGGAGAAAAACCATACGAGTGTGGTCTGTGTGGAACAGGTTTTTCTCGAGCATCACATCTAAAGCGCCACAGCAGAATCCACACTGGAGAAAAACCATACGAGTGTGGTCTGTGTGGAACAGGTTTTTCTCGAGCAGCACAGCTAAAGCTCCACAGCAGCATCCACACTGGAGAAAAACCATACGAGTGTGGTCTGTGTGGAACAGGTTTTTCTCGAGCAGCACATCTAAAGCGCCACAGCAGAATCCACACTGGAGAAAAGCCCTTCATCTGTGACGTTTGTGATCAGAGTTTTACTCAGAGAGGTCATCTCAAAAATCATCAGAGCATCCACACAGGAGAGAAACCATTTGAATGTGACCAGTGCGAAAAAACATTTAGGATCAAAGAGCTGCTCTCACAACATCAGCACGTCCACACAGGAGAGAGACCTCACCAATGTTACCAGTGTGAGAAGACTTTTACACATTTATCTCACCTCACTGAGCACTACAGAATCCACACTGGAGAAAAACCATACGAGTGTGACCTGTGTGGACACTGTTTTTCTCGAGCATCACATCTCAAGAGCCACAGCAGAATCCACACTGGAGAGAAGCCCTTCAGCTGTGACGTTTGTGATCAGAGTTTTACTCAGAGAACTCATCTCAAACGTCATCAGAGGATCCATACAGGAGAGTCAAATCTTGGTAAACACATGGAAACTTGTCCAGAACCAGGTCTGAAGACAAAACATGTGGAACAAAGTGAAGGAGACTGATATTGAAATGTAACTTAAGTTATAACTTTCAATCAATTCAATCGTTTGTGGCTTGATTACATGCTGAATGCTAAATTATATTGTCTGTATTGTAATTCACTTTGGCTTCAGTCCGTCTGGGCTTAGTTTGCAGTCTGTCGTCGTAGTGTGTTACTGATGGTAACCTTTGTTACTTTGGTCCCAGCCCTCTGCAGGTCATTCACCAGGTCTATTGCCAAACTCTTGTTAACTCATTGTATTGAGAAATATTTGGGCAAGTAACTTTTGACATTGGGCAAGTAAAATATAAATGGTACTTGTGGCTGACAAACCTTAATGTCAAGGCCTGTCAGGGTACACAGGTTCTGGGATTTTTGATCATTGTTCTAATGATCATTTTGACCCCACGGGATGAGATCTTGCGTGGAGCCCCAGATCGAGGGAGATCATCAGTGGTCTTGTATGTCTTTCATTTTCTGATAATTGCTCCCACAGTTGATTTGTTCACACCAAGCTGCTTGCCTATTGTAGATTCACTCTTCCCAGTCTGGTGCAGGTCTACAATTCTTTTCCTGGTGTCCTTCGACAGCTCTTTGGTCTTGGCCATAGTGGAGTTTGGAGTCTGACTGTTTGAGGCTGTGGACAGGTGTCTTTTATACAGATAACCAGTTCAAACAGGTGCCATTAATACAGGTAACGAGTGGAGGACAGAAGAACTTCTTAAAGAAGTTGTTTTACTTACTACTACTACCAAATACTTATTTTCCACCATACTTTACAAATAAATTCTTTAAAAATCCTACAATGTGAATTCCTGGATTTCTTTCACATTCTGTCTCTCACAGTTGAAGTGAACCTATGATGAAAATTACAGACCTCTGTCATTATTTTAAGTGGGAGAACTTGCACAATCGGTGGCTGACTATGCCCCACTGTGTATATGTATAATATATATATATGGGAGGATGACTTCCGGGTAGCATTGGAGTAGCATCTCTGAGACTGTGCTCCCATCGCACCTTGATAAATACAGCATTTAAAAACGAATAGAACCAACAAAAGAGTTAACTCCGGCTATTAAGTCTGTTTGTGCGTTGAGGGATATGAGCCGAAGCTCACGGAAAGGAGGAAATAAGCAACTATCTCAGACGCAAAAGTCCATAGCATCCTACACCGTGGGCAAGGATAAAATGGCGGACGTGGATTCCCCACAAAGTCTTTAAACCGCTGCTGTTTCTACACTTGATTTGGCAATTCTCCGCCGTGAACTCCAGTTACACCGGGACGACATAAAGATGGATATTGGAACGCAGATTTTGGATCTCAAAGAGGACATTTTGTCCCTGCGCAATGATGCCAGAGCAGATATTAAAACCCTTCGTGAGGAGCTAACTGGGGAGCTAGCTAAACTTAGCAACAAACAAGCAGAGGCTACGCGGCAGATGGAAGACTTGGGGAACACGTTAAGCGACATGATCGATAGTCGCCGCATAGGAGCACAACCAGCAGCTTATGACCAAGAAATGCAAGACTCCAAGAAAAATTCGCGGACCTCGAAAACAGGAGCCGGAGACGTAATCTGAGGTTCGTTGGGGTTGCGGAGGACTCGGAGAAGGGGAAGACAGACCACGCTCGATAGTGGCTTGTTTTCACTACTTTTCGGATAGACAGAAAATACTAGATCTAGCCAAAGCCAAGGGAAAACTTTTGTATGACGGGCGACAGGTGAACATCTTCCCTGACATGACTCCTGAGGTGGGAAAGATGCGCGCAGCCTTCAACGACATAAAGAGAAAGCTCCGCGATGGAGTGTCATACAGCCTCTTTTTCCCTGCGAAGCTGGTTGTCACAGTGAAAGGAGAAAGACATTCATTTGACTCACCTCAGGCAGCCGAGTCCTACCAACAACATGTGAAGTAAGACTGAATAATGTCGCCTAGCTCATCACTACTACTCGGGGAGAGGAGCGCGGACCTGATTGGTATGGCTTGTCAATGACTTTTGTGTTTGTTTTTTCTTGGGGCTGATATGAGCCAAGTTTAGCGATTGATGTAAATACAGTTGGGTTTTTTTCTTAGTTTAATGTATGATACACGAGGTTCAAAAACTCATAATTTAAATGCTGTTAACATAATTTAGTTTAAGTAGTAACATAAGTATCATGTTTTTAAAAGAGACCCACCTCAAAAACCGTGATCATACACACTTACGCTAAACTTGGATTGGGCACATATACCACTCAAGTTTTAACCTAAAGTCTAGGGGTGTGGCTATTTTGATTAGGAAGAATACATCTTTTGCTCTGACTCCATTTTAGAGCCACAAGGTAGATATGTGATAGTAACTGGGAAACTCTGTAATGTACCAGTTATTCTGGCTAACATATATGCACCCAATCATGACGACGAACACTTTATACGGTCTATAATATCATCCCTTCCGGATATACACAGTCATAGTCTGATTATGGGCGGCGATTTCAACTTTGTGCTTGACCAGTTACTTGATAGATCATCAAATAAACAACAGAGTTTGACCAAATCTGCTAAATTGATTAAGCAATTTTTAAAATCTGCTGACTTAGTAGACCCATGGAGGCACATAAATCTCCCACTAAGCGTGAATATTCATTTTTCTCCCCGCGGCATAATTCTTACTCGAGGATTGATTTTTTTTTTTTTTTTTTTTTGACAGATTCTAAATTGTTACCCATAATCAAAACAATACAATATGAGGCTATAGTGCTGTCAGACCACGGACCATTAATATTAAATCTTTCATTCCCTAAACTGAATGGATCCAAAAATTGGAGAATGGATAACAGGAGTTTGGCAGAAGAGTCATCCAGGCAGTATATTAAATCTCAGATATCTTTCTATTTTGAAACAAATGATTCCACAGAAATTTCAAGGGAAACTCTTTGGGAAGTAATGAAAGCTTTTATTCGCGGTCAAATGATATCTCAGAGTGCATTAAAATATAGGAAGGAAAAACAGGAGAAACAGTTAATAACTGAACAAATTCAAACCTTGGATCACCAGCATGCCACCAACCCAGAGCCAGATATTTTGGCTAAACGTATTGCTCTGCAGGCTGAATTCAATTTGTTATCCTCAGCTTCAGCAGTGAAATTAATAAAAGAAACAAAACATTGATTCTATGAACATGTGGAAAACCCCGGCCGACTACTTGCTCACCAGATTAAAGTTATGGAGGAGAAAAAACACATTTTAGAAGTAATAACAAATCTGGGCACTTTAACTACTGACCAACAAGAAATCAACAGGGAATTTAAAAAGTTTTATGAAGATTTGTGCTCATCTGAAGTTGAAGGGGATATTACTCTGTTAAATAATTTTTTCAATGATCTACCCATTCCCTTAATAACTCAGAAATCTAAAGACGAGTTGGAAAGTCTTATCTCTCTAGATGAGGTTAAACGGGCAATCAAAGCTTTACATACATCAAAGGCACCTGGTCCTGACGGTTTTACAACTGAATTTTATCAATCTTTTGTTGATGAGCTGGCTCCCAGGTTACTCCAAGTTTATAACGAATCCATGACTCTTGGTAAACTCCCGCCAACATTTTATCAAGCAACTATTTTTGTCTTCCATAAAAAAGATAAAGATCCAAAAAGTTTGTCTGCATACAGGCCAATTAGTCTTTTGAATGTAGATGTTAAAATCCTGGCCAAAATATTAAAGACCTTATGCCGGGTTTGATTTATTTAGAAATACAGTTTTAATACCATTTTAGAATCAGAATCAGAATCATTTTTATTGCCACGTGAGTAACAAAGTTATCACTTGGAAATTGTCTTGGCAGAGAGCGTGCCACTTCGCCATTTGCGGCGCTGTGTGCAGCAAGAAACAGCAGAGAGCAATAACATTCAGGTAACAACAGACAGTTGGATAGAAAACATTGTGCTTTGTATAAACCACGGATTTTTTTCACGGGATGAGCACCTCCGGCCTGCCGGTCCAATGTGGCTGTCAGAGGGGGGCGGGGTCAGGGAGGGGGTGAGTCGGAAACACAGTAAGGAGGGGAGGGGTGGGTGAGATCAGAGGGAGGCGGGGGGAGCGGGATCCAAACTGGAAGACTGAAAGAGTGTGAAATTTTTGTAGAGACCAGATTTATTATGATGGCCTTGGCCCGAGGAATGTGAGATAAGAGAGGAGGGAAGACACAATAGGGAGAGAACACATCTCCTGTAACGAGGGACAATATTGTATGCAGTTTAGCAGTCAAAAACAGGCAGATATTCTATTAAATCCAATTAGACCAAATTACAGCGCCCTCAGACCCCGTACACAGGGGCAAATCCAAGCCGGGTCAGAGAGTTCAAGCCTGGCAGACAATGTCATTCAATCTCAATTCCAGAGTCTTATGACCATCAAGTGAACGAGCTGCGAGATCTTTGATCAACTGTTCCACTAACACCACTCTTCGTTGTCCAGCCACAGCGCTCTCAACCACGACTCGGTTAAGCTCCTTGTACATCCCATCAATTTTTTCGGCCAGCAGGTCGTGAATCTTGCGAACTGCCATGCCTCCGAATTTGTGGTAGAAGAGAACCGCTCCAAACCCAAACAGGAGGATCCCCACCACCAAAATGCCAAAGATATATACGTCTTCCGAATCTTCAATGGACAGGGTCGACAGACAGAGGGGCTGAAACTTGTTCCAGCTGTCAAGCGTATACCCCGCTGGTGAAGTCCCGTCCGGGCACACGGGCTCTCCAGACCCGCGCTTACGTGTTGAAAAGATAGAATCAATTGCGTTGAGGGACCAGTTAATCATTTCCATTCTGTTAAAGTTGTCTGTGGCAAAACTCCAGGAAAAAAAGACAAAAACAGGAGATAGCAAGCCGTTCAGAAGCAGGAGCGGACTAAGACACGTCCTTGCACGACGAAGGAGGAAGGAGGAAGATATTATATTAGAAGATAACTACTAAAGGTTTCAAAATCAGTTTTTTTTTGTCTGATCCCCCCAAATCGAAATAACTCCATAGCAACGCCCTTAGAGACAAAAAAACTTCACAGCCCTTGGTGACGTCAGAGTGGGTACGTTTCAACGCTGTAAGTTGTTTACAATTTGGTATTCGTTCTTTTTTCGCGGATATTCAAGATGACAAGGCCGTGTACAGCGAGTGTGAAATTACTACTAGATTATAACACTTCGTTGTCACTGAGATAGTCCGTACCCTCCAGTAAATGGACTGTCTCCAGGTCCGAACAAGGTCCTAACACATAACAAAAGGTCCGAACGAGGTCCGAACACAATCCGAACGAGATCAAAGGCTTTTCGGCAAAGTCCGAACGCAGTCCGAACATACAGAAGGTCACGTGACGTTACCTGACGAAAATGGGGGCGTGTCTAGAGCGAATGGAAAAGTTTGGAGTCACCGCCATCTTTATTACGGCACATACAGCGAGAGAACGGTAAGTGATGACACTTCATTAGTTCTCACAAACGCCTCATATAAACTGAACATCATCGCGATCCCACACGAGCCGAACGTAAACACCACATATTAGCCCAATGCTAAACTGTGGGGAAAACTAGACTATCGTATTAGCATGTTATTAAACTTATATTTCAACTTTTGCGTCTCGGAGCCGCTTTTCAAACCTAACTTCTGACTGTGTACGTATTAGCACTGTGTGGCTATTATTCTTATTACTGTTATTCCTATTACCATTATTACTATATTATTACTATTGTAGAGAACAGACACAGCCGCGATCACACCTGTAACCCCAGTTATTCTTATTACTGTAACCCCAGATATTATTCTTATTACTGTAACCCCAGTTACAGGTTATTTACGAGTCCTTCCAGATAAACAAAGGCAGACAGAACTTTGAATATGATGTGTGTCAATGTGGATGAGAACAGAGACGTCATCACTTAGATATTATTGACGCATTAATGACTAGTAGCAATGTGGGTTAGAACAAATACCTTCAGATAATTATGTTTAGCAGTAATACAGTAATTACAGAGCTCCAAAGTCCAACACATATAGATTCCACACTATAAATGACTATTATTATTGCCTGTCAGAGGAATAGTATTTTTTCTTTAATAGAGCCTGGTCATCAAATCAAAACAAATGTATTTATATAGCACATTACTAACAACTGTTGTTGACAAAAGAGCTTCACAAAAAGGTGCACAACAGGAAAATGATGAACAATATACAATATGAGCTCAGATTTTGCCCTTGATGTGTGCCACAGTGTTTATTTCTTTGTCATGTGTCTGAGCAGAGCCAACGGTTGATCTGCCCCAGAATCAATATCTCCAATACATAGCTACTTACTGTAGTGTATTCACTACACTAGCTACACTAGCTACACTAGCTACACATGGCTACTTAACATGGTCATTTATTCATGTTTAGTGACTTTGGTTTGATATCTACTCTGCTGCACATGGCTAACTATTCACGTGTAGTTTGACACTAACCACTTTTATATTCAATGGATGCAGATGACGAAGACAGGAAAGCCAGAGAGTTACTGGAGGGACATCTGTGCCAAATATGCCCAGGGCCTCTACCACTTTTCCACTGGCAAACGGCCAGGGGCCAAAAAATGGAAGAAAGCCTTGGAGAGGATCGATGCTTGCCCCCTGCAGAGCAACACGAAGGATCTGTTTGGGAGAAGCCTTCAGTGCACCTGCGGGTTCCACAAGGTAGGACTCATTATTTACTTATTGATTGATTGTTTGCTGTTTCCTCTGGTGTTGATTTTCTGTGCTCTCTCCTAGCCAGCACATCTGTCATCAGGCACTGGGTCCAGTGCTGCTGGGTCCAGTCGGGCTGGGTCCAGTGCTGCTGCGTCCAGTGGTGCTGCTGCGTCCAGTGGTGCTGCTGCGTCCAGTGGTGCTGCTGCGTCCAGTGGTGCTGCTGCGTCCAGTGGTGCTGCTGCGTCCAGTCGGGCTGGGACCAGTGCTGCTGCTGGGTCTAGTGGTGCTGCTGGGTCCAGTGGTGCTGCTGCGTCCAGTGGGGCTGCTGCGTCCATCCGAGTCAGCACAGAGGAAGAGGGAGTCCGAGGAGACACAGAGGCAGGAGCATCAGCTGCAGCACCCGGAGTGCAGTGCTTCCAGTGCAAGCAGCTTGTGGATGGAGAGCACTTTTCACAGCATCTGCTTGACCATCACACGGAGGAGACCTGTGACAGCTGCGGGGCCAAGGTGCAGGGTGCTGTTGGTCTTCTGACTCACATCCAACAGGCTCATTATGCGGCACTCATGAAGCCATCCCCACAAAAACCAACTGTGTTGCCACCAACACCATCTCCAACACCATCTCCAACACCATCTCCAACACCATCTCCAACACCATCTCCAACACCATCACCAGCACCATCACCAGCACCATCACCAGCACCATCTCCGCTCCCCTCATGCAGTTCTGCCATGCCACCCCACACTCCGTTCAAAGCACCATCCATTAACTGGAAAGGCTTTCTTCCTGAGCCATTTAGGAGAGTGATCCAGGAAGCAGATCAGGTCTGGATAGCTAAGTGCCTTTATGGACCTACAGGACAATTAAAACAGAAGCTCCAAACCTCCTGGTATTACCCTCCTCTAGAGCCCAAACCATCTTCTCTTGAGCCTGGCTGGTACTGTAGACAAAGGCTGTTCATCTGGGCACCAATGAGGATGTGGGGGATTCCTCTAAAATGCCCTCAATGTTCCCGAAAGATGAACAGCTCGGGCATCTACAGGAAGGTGAGAGAGGTGATTGACGTGGATAGTCGCTACTACCTGGTGGGAGGAGACTATCCACGTTGCAACAAGTGCGCTCTGCCGGTCTGCCCATGGAGCCAGGATATCCTCTCGCAGCTGGATGTAGCCCACAGGAGCATGTTTCCCGCTGTCCTCACTACACACCTGGCTCTGGACAGGAAATGTATGACCTTCCTGAAGCCGAGGACCAGTGGAAACAGCTCCTCCTACTTCCAAGCGGCAATAGAGGAAGTGCACAGCGAGGAGTGGGCACGTCAGGCCATCCGATACCTCTCGGACTGTGAGAGCCATCAGAAGATGGCTACCTTTGTCCCCTCTGCAGCTGCCTATCCTCCTCCACTGCCCTTTAGGCCCCTTCCACTTGCTCAGTGGTTTGAGACTGTCCACTCCAACGACATCTGCAGGAAATGAAGGGAGTCATCACTTCTACCTACAGTATGGTAGAATTCTTAAGATGGATTCGACCAAGAAGGTTAGGGTTTCAATAATAATAATTAAAAAAATGAAATGTAACATATATATTTACAAAAGATAAATGTATTTACTTCTTGTGTTTGGATTACAGGTCACCAAGAAGCTGGCTGGTGGAATAGGGGGCAGCGCTGCATGGATGACAAACATCGGTAACGAGTTTGGGCAGGTTCTGAACTCTGTTCTGACGACGGGTGAAGGTGCAGGGTTGGAAGAGCTGTGCCAGGGCATTGTCACCCGTTATAAGAACGTGGGCAAAGATGAACCTGAGGTCATCTATGTGGACCGGGACTGCTGCAGCCAGTCAGGTGATTGAACATGTCTCCTTTATCAAATACATGTGGAAAAACTGTGCCTCTGCATCTCAGTCTCTCACTCACCTCTCCCTCATTCAACACACAAACATGCAGGGACACACACACATACATGCAGAGACACACATGCAGACACACACATACACAGACAGGCACACACACACTGTTAGAACATGTTCATTGTGTTGTGAATGTCATTAAAATGGCTGTCTCTCACAGGTGTGTCTTCTGTGACCAAACTGTTCCATCCATGGAGGTCTGCAGTGCGTTTGGACAGTTTTCACTTTATGAGGCGCTTCAACTGTGGCCTCACCACAGAACACCACCCTCTTTATGGCACCTTTTGTGCCAAGCTCTCCTCCTGCATTTTTGAATGGGACCAGGAGGATGTGCAAGGCCTGAAGGAGGCCAAGAGAGGGGAGTGGAAGAGCAGCCACAGTGGACATGAGCCCACGGAGGAGCAGCTCTTGGCAACCATCACCTCAGGGGAACAGAGGAGACACTGCAGGAGGAGGTCGCGTGGCGTGGAGGACATACGGCGCATGATTTCAGGGCTGCTGGAGTCAGTGTGGGAGCTCACTGACACCACAGGGCTGCGTTTGGTGAACCATGACACCATGCACCATGTGTGGGAGGTGCAGCAGAAGCACCTGGAGTGCCTCCAAGACCCTCCTGGTCTAAAGCTCTACACGAAGGTGGTGTAGAGCTGGACGTCCTTAGGTGTGGCAGGGGGTCCTCCTCCCTGGAGAGTTTTCACCGACACCAGTGCGCTTTTATCCCAGGTACATTTGCATTGATATTGTATTGTATGTTTTTAATGTTCTTTTGTGATATGACACACAATGTGCTGTAATGTTATTACGACCGTTATTACGACAGTTTGGCATTCATATGTATTCACTTTACTAAACAGAGTGTTGTATTTCTTAGGCTGGCGGTGCAATGCATCTCATATGCAGATGTACATGCTGGAGGGGCTATCCAGGTGGAACATGGCTCGGGCCAAGGAGGCAGTAGCTGTGGAGGGGGCCTCGGCTCTGCGGAGCTTTGACGTCCGCCTGATGTCCCACCTTAACAGCCTGAGCCAGCTTGTCCTTGGTTGTGCTCTAGTGCCAGAGTTTACCCCTCCTGGGAAACCCACTGGTAAGAGAGATCTCAGAGCAACATTTGTAGACCAGAGTATTACATCTTGGGTGCTAGTATTGTACTAACTGTAGGAGGTGGGATGGATGTGTTTATATACTTTGGTCATCTTGTGTTTGTGTTTATACTGGTTTCAGACGAGCGCACGGCGGTGGAGTATTTATTGGGCCAGACCAACAGAGGGGACCTGCTTGCTCCTGCACCTGCCCCTGAAAACCCCTCACAGGTGCTTGAGGAGGAGGAGGAGGAGGAGGAGGAGGAGGAGGCATATGCCCCCATACACATGCCAGAGCTGTTGGCTGGTGATGCGAGGGACCAGTTGTTGGAGGGGGACACTGAACCCACTGAACCTGTCACACCCAAGGTCAATAACACTTTCTCAAAAACACAATGCTAGCCTGAGTGAAATGTGGTTACATTTGAAGAACATAAATGAATGTGAAAGCACCATTGCACACATAGAAAGAGACATTCATTTTCTTGTTTTGTCTCTTTTCAGACCAGCCAATGTGACTCCAGAGGTGTTGTGGGATGGGAGAGTGTGGACGCCCTGGCAGCCTATCTCGTTGGCCTGAACCGCACCACCACTGCTCTGTCAGCCAAGGAGGAGGCAGACATAGTCCGTCTGTACACAGCTCTCCATGACATGGACAATAGGGCTGTATACCTTGGAGAACCTGGCGATACGATACATACCTCGATACACAGGTCACGATTCGATATGTACCTCGATACAGAGCTGTCTCGATACGATTCGATACAATGTGGCACGATTCGATACGATTCAATAAAAATACATGGGCCAGAGCCAATTAGTTAATGCTGAACACATTTACTCAACAGAACTCTTCAATTTATTGAAGACAACAGTGCATTATAACAAAGTGCATTTTCCTTAAATATTTGCAATTTTAAATGCTCAGATTATTTGTACACAAATCGTATTATTCTGGAAATTACCACAAATCAACATTTAACTTTCCAAGGGTACAGTCTGAGCTCACACAAGCACAAAATCTTGGTGATTCAATTCTTTTTTGTGACACCATGTACTGCCATAACATATTTCACTATGAAATCACTTAAATCCTACATCTTGCTTTAACATTTGGCACAACAACAAATCCACCTCATAGCAGGATGGATTTTAAAATCTAAAGGCTAAACCAGATTTGTCCTCAAAAAGGCACAAATCACTGCAGCAACAAAACAATAACCTGAGGATACTCTTGGTAATGCTAGTTTTATCCTATGACTTGAGATTTTTGTTCAAAAACAGAAGTTGGTCAACATGGTTTGAGCTTAGTACACTTCTCTGTGCTGTTACAATATCGCCTGCCGTAGAGAAAACACGCTCCGAGGAGACACTAGTCCCTGGAATGCACAGGTACATTTTGGCAAGGTGTGACATTAGTCGATATTCATTCTGGTGCTCTTTCCACCAACTGAGTGGACTTCCCTCAGCAAGAGACAGGGGTGGTGCCTCCTTGTACCTTGACATCTCCTCTTCTGCCTGGGCTTGTGTGGTTCTGTTTCTCACCGCAGGACCTGCACTGTAAGTTGAACCAAGCAGATCAGCCAAACAGCACAAGTCCTTTTTCTTCTTGGGTGGTGGCGGGCTGGCAGGAATGTCATCCTTGTCTTCCACATGATTGTCCTCTTTTCCTGGTATCCCTTCAGCCTCTTCCTATAATGCAAAATACAGATTTGTTATCAATAAACCCATAGTTAATTCAATAAGGAGCATATTCAAAGACGTATAATAGTTTGCCTTTTATTTAATGCGATGAACTGACAAACCTTTACAATATATTGTTTTGCTAATATAGTGCTTTACATGAAGTATAGGTTTCGTTTTTTAAGCTCTAACATACTATTATGAATTTGAAATTATGAACTGAATATTTCGTTTTATTACACTTGGTGTATATATATATATATATATATTTATATGTATGTGTGTGTGTGTGTGTGTGTGTGTTTTTTTAATGTGTTTTAACCATGTAATGTTAATGACACAATGAAAGGGCTTACCTGAAATAGTTCTTGAATTCTTCGAGCTTCTGCAGTAATTCTCAAATATATTTCCTCTCGTTCATCATCAGGAAGGAAGGGCAAAGCTTTGAATCTTGGATCGAGTGCTGAACATACATACATGGTCGCTTTCTGCTGATCCATGTACCTCTTGCTCAAATCTTGGCAAATAGCCGCTTTGATTTCTTTCACTATCTCACTATCTGCTCTGTTCTCTTGGAAATCCTGGATGAGCTGAGCATGAAGAGGGGCCACAACAGACAGTGTTGGAGAGCTTTCTTTTGACATTACAAGAGTAGCAATCTTCATGGGCTTCATTGCATCCACTATCTCCTCCGCAGATGTAATGTCCGACTCGCATAGGGTGCAAACAACTTTCTCGGTTTTCCTAAGCTCGTTGGACAGAAGAGCAGCGGAGACAGCGGGTTGCTGCTCAAGAAAGCGCTCGAGCATGTCATGTGCGCTATTCCAGAGCGTCACAACATCAGTGATCAGTTTATGTTCAGGCAACTCGAGCAACTTCTGCTTCTGTCGAAGTACGTGGCTGGCTGTGGTACTGCGCTTAAAAAAGGTGGAGATGCGTCTAACGTGGTCCCAATAAACGAGCGACAGCAGGAAGCTTCAGTGCACGCTGCGAGGCCAGGTTTAAAGTGTGAGCGAAACACCTGAAATGCAACATACCGGCAAGCTCCGCTGCGACGCTCATATTTGCGGCGTTGTCAGTGACAATAGCCGGGTCTTTGGATACGAGGTCCCACTCCTCCAGCGCCGCTTTAAGTAACTCCGCAATGTTTGACCCCGTATGGCTCTGGTGCATGGCTCGCGTTTGTAAAACGTGTGACATCAGTTCCCACTCCTCGTTAATGTAATGGCAAGTGATTGTAACAAAGGCTTCCGTGGCTCGCGATGTCCACCCGTCACATGTCAGTGCCACTCGTGGGGCAGAACTCAGGGTTGACTTAACATTGTCTTTCACTTTGTCATACATTCTCGGTACTGCTTTGTCGGTCATGTAGCTGCGGGTAGGGATCACATAACGGGGATCTAACGTGTTGATCATAAAGCGAAAGCCTGTGTTTTCGACAACACTGTAGGGACATAAACCTTTGCAAATATAATGCACCACAGACTCCGTAATCTTCTGTGCACGGACTGAGTTAGATGGAAGCTTGGATGTTGCGCTGTCCAAAGTAGTTTGCGTGGGGTCCCGTGTTTTTTTGGGCTGCGGCGAAGCTAGCTTGTCTGCATGGTGTCTTTGCAGGTGGGCGCGCAGGTTAGTTGTATTACCGGTGTGGCGTATAGAAGCCTGGCAATGCTTGCAGATTGCATTTGTTTTATCGATCCCTTGGTTTCCTTCCTTTGCTTTAAAACCAAAATGTGTCCAAACATCTGCCTTTAGGGACAACGGCGCTTCTAAAATCTTCGACATTTTCTATGAGTTTTTTCTTTTCTTTTCTTCTTCTTCTCTTAGCGTGTTTTGAAACTCGCGGGCGCTGCTGCGCCCCCTAATGGCTGGGCGGAGTATCGATACTAAGGGCTAGAATATCGATACTGTATCTTTTTTTATTATATCGGTATGTATCTAAGAATCGATATTTTGAGCACACCCCTAATGGACAAGACACCTTCAAGGTACAAAGAGTAATGATTATGTACTCCATGATTATACATACATTCCATTGAGCGAATGAAGCATATGGATGTCTTTGTCACTGTTTAGGTACAGCCAGAAGGGTAAAAAGAAGGGACAGGTGTCAGCAGGACCATGGAGAGCACCCAGAAAGCCCAGTGGCTCTGCTCCAGGACAGCAGGCGGCAGAAAGGTGCTTGACCACAACTTGCTCTCCTCTTGGTTCAATGCTAATCATTGACATAGAGACATGTCACCATGTTACGTTCAAATTCTGTTATCGAATTCCCTGTTCACATTGTCCCTTGGTTCTGCATGACTTTACATACTTGTTCAGTCCAAAACATATGATGTTTTTCTCCCACAGACTGTACATGATTCATGGCCAAGCAGCTCAGGACCCTGAAGCAAACAGAGTCAGTGAGTGTGTTTGCCTCAGACTGGCCAAAGAGTTTGATCAGGCACGCAACAGGCCAAAGGACGTAAAGGGCAAGACCATGCCCATCCCACAGTCCATCGTCAGCGTCTACAGCCACCTCAGACAGCTGCTGGAGGACAGCAGGGTGGTCCTGGGTCAGACCAACGTGGTGCTGGTACCAGTCAACAACACCACTGTCTCCTCATGGTATGTGTTGTTTTATTTATCACAGCACATGTTTGTATGAAGTTGAAAACAAACAGAACAATATAAGGACTGTTTCCTTCTTACCAGCTCCTTTCCTTTCATGTCAATGTTTAAATGATATGTACCTTTCAAATGATCATTGTGTGAACAATGTAATGAGAGGAAACCTATCATCAAAGGAACACATGAATACAAATACAAATGTACCTTTCCCAAACAGTCACCACAGTGTAAAGATGTATCTTCAGTGTAATAAACTGTGTAATGACCTTATGGAGGACAGGTTCATCTGTATCAAATCATGAATGTTTGTCTTGTAGGCTGCTCAGGAGGGACAAGAGGAAGGACAGGGACATGCTTCTGCAGGGCACTGTTCTTCCAAAACAGCTGCACCAGGCCAAGGAGCCTCTGCCTTCAGTGAGCACTCTCCCTGCTGCCCCTGAACCACATGCTCAGGAGATGACTTTTGAAGAGCCTGAGAATCGTGAGGGAGAAGCTTTCCCCCGCCAGCGAAATGTTGCAGGACCCAGCCAACCTGTGCCTCATCCACCACCTCCCCCTTTCCCTTCACAATATGGACCAGCTCCTCCTCTCCAGCAAGCCCCTCATTTACATCACCCTCCATTTCCCCATGTTCCTCCACATCTGCACCCCCAATACCCTTATCCTCCTCCATTCCCCCATGCTCCACCTTTTCAATATGCTCCTCCACTTCCACAAGCTCCTCCACTCCCCCATGCTCCTCCGTGTCCCGAGGCTCCTCCGCTGCAGCAGCCTCCAGCAGGCCTTCCCTCTCAGCCAAGGCAGCGTGCATGGAGGCTGAATAAAGCTGCCCAGGAGGATGAGGAGCGAGCATTAAGGGGCGAACCACCGAAGAAGAGGTTGGCCAAAGAAAAGTACCACTACACCTGCAAGCAGTGTGGGGAGAACAAGAGCAAGACCACAGGACACACGCAGGTGAAAGGGCGGTGGTACTGTCCGGCCTCAGGTCTGACCCTGGAAGACTGGAGGAGGAGCCTCAACTGAGAACACTGTTTTTTCATTTTTTATTTGTTATATTATTTGTGAATAGTTTTCTAAGAATATATTGCACTGTGTTTTAGGTGTTTGTTTTACCAGTCTGAATAAGCTTTGATCTCTCTGTGTATCTCTGTCTCTCTGTGTATCTCTGTGTCTCTCTGTGTATCTCTGTGTATCTCTGTGTCTCTCTGTGTATCTCTGTGTCTCTCTGTGTATCTCTGTCTCTCTGTGTATCTCTGTGTCTCTCTGTGTATCTCTGTGTATCTCTGTGTCTCTCTGTGTATCTCTGTGTCTCTCTGTGTATCTCTGTCTCTCTGTGTATCTCTGTGTCTCTCTGTGTATCTCTGTGTCTCTCTGTGTATCTCTGTCTCTCTGTGTATCTCTGTGTCTCTCTGTGTCTCTCTGTGTCTCTCTGTGTATCTCTGTGTCTCTGTCTCTCTGTGTATCTCTGTGTCTCTGTCTCTCTCTGTCTCTCTGTGTATCTCTGTCTCTGTGTCTCTGTCTCTCTGTGTATCTCTGTGTCTCTGTCTCTCTGTGTCTCTCTGTGTATCTCTGTGTCTCTCTGTCTCTCTGTGTATCTCTGTGTATCTCTCTGTCTCTCTGTGTGTCTCTGTGTCTCTCTGTGTATCTCTGTGTCTCTCTGTGTATCTCTGTCTCTCTCTGTCTCTGTGTATCTCTGTGTCTCTCTGTGTATCTCTGTGTCTCTCTGTGTATCTCTGTCTCTCTCTGTCTCTCTGTGTATATCTGTGTCTCTCTGTGTCTCTCTGTGTCTCTCTGTGTCTCTCTGTGTATCTCTGTGTCTCTCTGTGTATCTCTGTCTCTCTGTCTCTCTCTGTCTCTCTCTGTCTCTCTGTGTATCTCTGTGTCTCTTTGTGTATCTCTGTGTCTCTCTGTGTATCTCTGTGTCTCTCTGTGTATATCTGTGTATCTCTGTGTATCTCTGTCTCTCTCTGTCTCTCTGTGTATCTCTGTGTCTCTCTGTGTCTCTCTGTGTATCTCTGTGTCTCTCTGTGTATCTCTGTGTCTCTGTCTCTGTCTCTGTGTATCTCTCTGTCTCTCTGTCTCTCTCTGTCTCTCTCTGTCTCTCTGTGTATCTCTCTGTCTCTCTCTGTCTCTCTGTGTATCTCTGTGTCTCTCTGTCTCTCTGTGTATCTCTCTGTCTCTCTGTGTGTCTCTGTGTCTCTGTGTATCTCTGTCTCTCTGTGTCTCTGTGTGTCTCTGTGCCTCTGTGTATCTCTGTGTCTCTCTGTCTCTCTGTGTATCTCTGTGCCTCTGTGTATCTCTGTGTCTCTCTCTGTGCCTCTCCATGTGTCTCTGTGTGTGTGTCTATTGTGTGTGTGTCTCTCTACTCATCCTGTCTGCTTTCTGGTTTCTAGTTTTCTCTGTTGTTTAATGTTACAATAAAGTTTATTGATATCTTATACCAGATGATCCTCGTTGTTTATTTCATTTCCTTTAAAAACAGGAGAGTGTGTGTCTCTCTCTCTCTGTCTGTGAGTGAGCCTCAAAAACAGAAGCCAGAAACACTTATTATATTTATATATATTTTTATTATTATATATTTATTCTCATAACCCAACACATCCACACTCCGTTATACACGGTGAATACATTGTTTTGTTGATACTGCCACCTGGTGGGCCATATAAACGTCCACAGCGCTGTGTTACTTGGGGAGGTTGCAGGATCGAATCCCACAAGAAACATACAAATTGAAGTGATGATACACCTTGCTTTAAGTGATGAAGTGAGTGTAAACATGAGAGAGAACGTAATGGAGAAGAAAATAATGTATGTAGTGCACATTTTCCTCCTTTTTTCTCTTTTTCTTTTTCTCCCTTCCCCCCCCCTCCCCTCCCTTTTTCTTTCCCCCCCCCCATGGCAGTCCCTTTTGCCCCATTTTCGGCCGAGCGGTTGTGTCGATGGACTGTTAATCCAGATACTGGGGTTCAAATCCCGCCTCAGACACTTTTTCACTCTCAAAACGGCAATTTATGTGTAGTGAGCAATTGTCACCTGTAGAGGGCAGTATTGTGTTGGGCATCAGTGGAGAGAAGAGAGAAAAGGCAGTCCTGTGGCATAGATCCATGGTTTTCAATTCATGGGCGTTACCCGCTGTGACGTCACACACAGGTTAGAGCATAGACAACTTAAATTCATGAAAAACACGTTCTGTTTATAAAATATAGGATTTTTTTCGTCGGAATCTATTTCAGATCGACATTGTCATGCAATTTTGATATCCACAATTTTTTTTTTTTTAAACCCGGCATAAGGTTTTTAAGTAATCGACTGGAAACTGTGCTACCCACAATCATACATGAAGACCAGAATGGTTTCATGAAAAACAGACAGTTAACCCATAATTTAAGACGTCTTTTCAATATTATCTATACAAGCAATGCACCAGCTCAACCTGAATTGCTCATCTCTCTAGACGCGGAGAAGGCCTTCGACAGGGTGGAGTGGTCCTACCTCTTCTTCGCCCTGTCAAAGTTTGGATTTGGAATTCAGTTTGTTGCTTGGCTGAAACTACTGTGCCTCCCCGGTTGCTTCCATACAAACCAATAACATCAGGTCAGAGTACTTCCCTCTAACTAGGTCTACTCGACAGGGCTGTCCGTTGTCGCCCCTACTGTTTGCAATTGCAATCGAACCTCTTGCCATTTCACTTCGTATGATGCAGAACTATTCTGGCATCACAAGAGCAAACTATGAGCATAAGGGATCGCTCTATGCTGATGACCTTCTCCAATTGACCAGATGCATCAACGTCATCCAGTCACGTGATTGTGAATGAGCTTACGGCGGAAGTATTGGAAACTAGCATTGCTGCTAGAGCAAAACGGACACAACTCTTAAAAACGGAGCTTCCTCTCCTAAATCGAGAAGTGGCTGCTTCAAGCAATGTTCGATTACGTTATAGGTGGAAGTAGGACATCAGGTCAGGGCTCACAAAGAGTGGTATTTGGAGAAGTTAAGGATTGCCTAACTGGATGTTGACCCGTACCTTCTCCCCCCAGTCAATTTTATCGATTAAATAAAATGTCTATTTTTGCCCGAATTCACCCTACATGATCTTTATCATTATCGTTAACAATGCATCCCCTCACACTGGAGCAGATTTATATGTACATTTTGCTGGTAGCATTAGCAATAGTCCACTTTTCTGTGGCTTTTCTGTCTACAGCCAAACATGATACGTACTGACGGAGAGGAAAATAGTGAAACACGCAATTGACTTAAAAGATAAAAATGTCAATGTTGCAGCGCACATACAGGACAGTAGTAAGAGACACGTTTGACGTGTGTCATTGTCCTCCAAATTAATGGAAATAAAATAAATACAAACTTGTGATTGCTTTATCTTGTATAAAGTGTTCACTGCATATTAGGGAGCACTTGGATGGGTCCCAGTCCTTTTGGTTGATTGCCGCCATCGTCGTCTTCTGTCTTCATGACGAGCAGGTATCAGATAAAAAAGCTTATGTCCTTGCCTGTTAGTATAATCAACCGCACTGCAAAATGTCACAGTTTTGGCTGTAATGCGCTGAAACAGGTTGTTTTGGTCAGGTGTCCGTACACTCTAAAAAAAAATGCATTGGCAAAACTTAATAAAATTGAGGCAGCATTTTGCATGCATCTTTTTAAGTTTTGCGAACAAGACTGTGTTTTAAGTATTTTTTGTAAGTCTTTTATCATTGGTCCAGCACAATTTTTTCAATACCACCAACTTGGATAATTGAGTTATAAAGACACTTTGTTAAGTATATTCAGCAAGTGTTTTAGCATCAGCTCAACTTAATTTTAACAATACTACCAACTTAAATAATTACATTGAAAATAAATCTTTTTGAGTATATTCAACAAGTGATTTTCAGTCAGGAATATGTAATCTTTATTCAAATACCATCTTTCAAAGATTAGATTCACAAAACGGTTCACAATTGTTAATTTCAGGCAGTAGTCTCTCACTCCACATATATATGAGAGTGGGCCAGCACAGTCACTGGTAAACATGTCCACCTTAAAGTATCTGTTCAAAATTGAAGGGTGACACAGGGAGTATAGGACTGCTTTGGCTTGGCCCTCTCGATCATGGTTGATAAAAATAAATACAATTACTTATTTGGTCAAATTAGTTTATTCAGAATGTTGCTCAAGTATTTTGCTTTAGGACTTGCTTCATATTCAGTTTTAAAATTAATGCTCAAATGTAGAATTTTTAAGAAGTTTATATTTTTCACTGCAATGCATTCTGGGTAGCGTCACTGCTTCGCCACATTTTGTTTTCAATCAACACAATATATTTATTTTGAATCAACTCAATATATTTATTTTGAATCAACTCAATATATTTGTTTTTTCATTAATGGGCCACCAGGCTTACAAGAGGATTTTCATGTTGAGCAAACTCAATACTTCTCCGTTGTCCAGTTATGCCAGATTATCACATTCAAATTTGTTACAAAAATGAGTTAGGATTCTTGTATTAACTTTTAATTGAGACCGACATGTTTAAAATGAGTTGCGACCACACTAATTTAAGTAAAACTGGCAAAAATCAATTATTGAGTTTAGTTTAGTATGTATTTTGAGTTCAAAATACTAACCACCTGAATCATTTCTTTGAGTGTAGGCTCGCAGTTAGACTTCTGCCGTCTGTCATGGAGAGTGGGCGTGGCCGGGACGTCACATGCAAGGGGTCAATATATCTCAAACCCTTTAATATCTATTCCTGCAATAATGAAACAACTGGAACAATTCGGCTCAATATCTGGCTACAAATTAAACATTGGCAAGAGTACTGTTTTCCCAATAAACCGGACACTGGATGACATGCATGTTTGTCGCTTACCCTTTAAGATTTCTGATGAATTTAAATACCTGGGAATTAACATTACGGTTGTATGTAAACACCTCTGCACCTTCTCCACCGACTCCCACTGATGACTGCTGTCGTTGTGTCCTTGGGCAAGACACTTAACCCCACTTTGCCCAAAGCC